AATAATATATATATATATATAAATATCAGTTTCCACAAAAATATTGAGCAGCAAAACGTTTTCTGTTATTAAGAAATGTTTCTTGATTTCTGAAGATCATGTGACACTGAAGACTGCAGTAATGCTGAAAATTCAGCTTCGATCACAAGAATAAATTACATTTCATAATATATCGACAGAGAAAACTGCTATTTTAAATTGTAATATTACTTACCAAATATTAATGTTCTTACTGTATTTTTGTCCAAATAAATGCAGTCCCGGTGGGCAGAAGAGACTTCTTACGGTCACCAGCACATTGCTCATCTTTCCAGTTACTCTTATGAGCACATATCCACAACCCAATATATAGGGTTGTGAAATGAAGTGCCGCTATTGAAGCTGAATAACTTTCACATGTATTCAGAAGATCTGAGAAGAAAACTGCACACACTCCAACCGAATCTTTGTTTAAAATCACTTTTATTTCAAGATTTTTAAACTCATACAGATCGTAAGGCATCTGCACAAAGAACAGTTTCTGTAGAGGTTTAAAAAAATCCTTTCCCTCAGATGGTGGACGGGATTCAAACCAGGTTTGATATATTTGTTTTTTGGTGCACCCCTTCCCTCCCCTCCCTTCCCTATTTTTCCACTTCTCAATAATCTTAAATTACAGCTATTATATAATTTCATACTCTTGATTTCTTACAGCAGTCAGACGACGTGAGAGCAATGACAGAGAAAAAGAGTGTTTAAAATCCATTAAATATGTACACAGAGGCTTCACATCACACACACGGCAGGCTAAACAGTACTATGAGGGGAGCAGACCACCTCCACATGATGTGTTGATGCATCTATTTACAGGTCCCTATACCGACTACACGATGACTAGCTTCTCTTGTATGAGGCGGCGTCTGTTTTTTTTACCTTTGAATTTTATTTCCAGTGGTTTGTTTTATGATAAATGGGTGAATCAATGAATGAAGTCCTAAAACCTTCATTAACCTCCACACACATGCACTTTTCCATCCCTGACCCGTTCGTAACGCAGAGCCAGTGAAGGTCTGTGTGCATCCAGCTGCACTTGAATCCAGGACAAGTTCTGAACTTGGCCCTGATTAAACTCTTGGGACGCCACAGAGGGGACGAGGTGTGTGTGATATGGACGTGATGAACGTGAGAAGGGTTTGCGTGAGAGGAACCGACATCGTGCGTCTCCGGTGAATGATCTAGGCTACTTGGACACTTGGACGCGGAAGGTGACGCGGCCCAGGAACTTGTCGCGGTCGTCGCTGTTGAGCAGGTCTGAACCCTCCACCTTGCACTCGATGACGAGCTCCGAGTTATAGTCGTCCTCCGTCAGAAGCAGCTTCACGGCTACCACTGGCTGGACGTAGTTTGCCTAATGGCAAAAATGAGAGAAATATGATAAGAAACTCTGCAAATATTAAGTATGGACACAGCAATATAAAAATGGTCTTATACAGATGCGATATTTAAGATAAGTATAAATATATATATACAGTATCTCACAGAAGTGAGTACACCCCTCACCCAGAGAGTGATAGAGTGTGAGTAGCACCACAACATGGATCAGCTCGGCCAGGGACCAGCTGTGCTCCTCAGCCTTCAGTAGACGCTGTAAGAAAAAAATAAAAAATATGAAGGCCAATGATATGTAAGAGTGTCCACGACAAAGAAAAGGAAAAAGATTAGAAAAAATCGAATTCTTAGAAATGTACTCTTGGTATTCATGTTGGTTTCAGGCGGTTTTGAAAAAGTGAAAAAGAAAAGTTTCAGTTTAATGACTCATGTCGTAACCATCAAGTAAAATGTAATAGCATATATATATATATATATATATATATTTATTTTATTCATTTATTAGTACAAATATACAGTGTATATTAAAATAGAAATTACATTTTCACATACATTATATATTTTTTCTATGCATAAAATATACATATATTTTCAAGTGAATAAACACCACACAATTTTACATGATTTATTCTGACAATATTCACTAGTATATTGTGCATCTATACAATTAATATGTTTGCTGTATTGTACTTACATGCAATGTCTTGCCATAATAGGGGAAGTAACTCTTGTCGAGTTTGCCCTCAGTGGGGAAATACTGCATCTGCAGGGGAGTTTCTCTCTGTGTCAGGAGAGAAACACAAAGGATGAGATCACACTGCTGCACTTTACAGACAACACGTGTCATGTGACTCGCGTTCAGTTAGTTGCCAGTAGCAACAGACTGCCCTCACATCACTCAAACTGATGACACAAAGAAAAATCAGCACCCCAATCAAACGCACAGACAGCAGACCTCTCAATAAAGCAGGTCAAACACAAATCCACACTGAAAATGGGGAAAATCTCTTTAGCATCGTGTACTGTATATGAACGCATGAATCCATAACTCTCTGCTCGCAGTCCATCACAGTCATAGCGCATATCCAGCAGTAGCAGGAAGCAACAAGCCGTTTCCACAGTTCAGGAACAGTTACAAGACTCTGATTCTAATGTGCATTCAATAAGTGCTTCATCTTTCATTAAGTGAACCGAATGAGATGATTTGCCGTAAGCTTCTATCTAATAATAGGTCATAGTGATGCATGCTTGCAGACAGTGTACCAGTAGTCCAGTGTACAAACACTAAAAGAAGCTATTTTAAACAGTCATTTTAAAGCACCAGTAGTCTGAGACCATGATTCATGCTATAATAATCAAATTCAAAGAATGTAATTATTAAGAAGCAGCACAGAAGCTCAGAAAACGTGCAGGGTTTCATTAGTGGCTTTCACACAAACAGCTTTTGCTGTAAATTTACAGCACGAATTCAGCAGCGTTCTCCATGCTGTATTCATGCGCGAAATAGACGCGGATCAGCTTCTGCAATTTTTAGTCCTGCTGGAAATGTTCGGTATTGATGCTAGTGCTGGGTAGATTATGTACAAAGTGTAATCCATTACTGATTCCAAATTACATGACAAAAATCATAGTAACGCAATCCATTACATTACACATTTTAGGTAATATAATCAGACTACTATTTGATTACTTTTAGATTATTTTGATTATTTTTGACCCAACTCATCACATTGATTTAAATAGGATAATCTTGTTCCATATTGAAATAAAAATACAAAGAGAAAGAAAATATATTCTATTTGGTGTTATTAATAAGTGCATTAAACATCAACATCAAAGTTTCTTAAACTAGGGTGCTTGAAGGAACTGCATGGGGTTCATGAGTTTAATGAAAAGCTAATAATTAAATCATAAAAATGTGAAATGAAAATTATAAAATAACAGCAATGAAAATAAAAAGACTTACTAATAAAAGATGAACTATTTTGTTTGCCTCCATGTTATGTGGCCATTAACCAACGTTGGAGAACCGTGAACATGCAAATGTGTTACTTAATCTCTCAAATATATTAGGTGAAAGAAGTTCAGCTGACAAAAAAAAAAAAGTTTGGGAACCCAATGTGTTTAAAAGACAAAAGCACAGAAAACTTAAAAGATGAAAAAGAATAATTAGGGAGAATCAACAAATTATGAATAATTGATTGCTATTGTGCAAATCATTTGTAATCATGTAATCAACAAAAAAGTATCTTATTATGAGCAATGTAATAATCTAATTACAAGCACTTACATTTTGGAATCTGATTACATAATACAGTTACTACCCAGAACTGCACATATACAATGCATTATTGGTTTTAACACGTATACGGTTATGATTCTCCAAGAATACTACTTCTACTACTAACATAGGTTTTGCAGAAGTAAAATTACAAATGTTCTGAAGCAGCTTACAAGCCATTACAAGTTGTTATTTACGTAATTTAGCTGACATACATAGACATTGATGCGGACTTTGGGCCTCATTCATGAAACACAAGCGTGACTAATTTGTGTAAAATGTTTGATGACCATTCTTACATCACTTGTTGCATTCAATTTAACATAAATTTGTTTTAGAGACAAATTCATTTGTACTTTTTTTTCAACTTCATGTGTGTTTTATGAATATTTTACAATAAAAATGGTTTAACGAACAATTGTTAGAGAAATGACAATGATTTATGTTAGAAAGGTCTGTTTACGACTTGAGGCCTATTGTACATTCGCTATACTTTTAACAATAGCTGGCGAAACGATGTTTACCAAACATGTTTTAAATGACATTCTGACGAAGCTGTAGAAGTGTAGAAAAAAATCTGATCGTGATTAGACCAGAAAAAATGCAAAATAAATGAACAAAAACAATTTTTAAAGTTTGGGCTCCTAAACATTAGATCACTCACACCCAAAGCAGTTATTGTAAATGAAATGATCACATAATAGTCCGCTTCTCAATATTATTAACTCGTCGTTGTCTTTAGGTCACGTCCCAAAACCATTCAAGCTGGCGGTTATTAAACCTCTTATTAAGAAACCACAACTAGATCCTAATGAACTGGCAAATTACAGGCCCATTTCAAATATTCCGTTTATGTCTAAAAGTTTAGAAAATATTGTGTCTGCTCAATTGTGCAACTGCACTTGTTAAAATTACAAATGACTTGCTTCTTGCGTCAGACCAAGGCTGCATCTCATTGCTAGTTTTACTTGGTCTTAGTGCTGCGTTTGACACTATAGATCATGACATACTCGGATCGATTACAAAGCATTCAAATAATGCATCTCATAATCTTGTACTGCAGTTATACCTGATCAAATGCACATTATTATTCCTTAGCTTGGGTTGAACTTGAACAAATAATTTTTGCTTGGTTGGAATAGCAGCTACGCTAATTATGTCTATTTGTTTCTCTGTTTCTGCCACAGGATTAACATACCATGGTAACTAGGAATTACACAAGCTTCAGTCTGGATCCAGCCCTACAAAGACCTGAGATGACCGAACACCTGAGAAGAGATGATGCCAACCCAGAAACAACAAACTACCAAATTTTGCTACAAGTTTGATTGCAACATATAATCATTGCTGTTAATAGTGTTCATCGTCTGTTTGATTACGTCATGAACTGAATTTTACCG